TCTAATAGTCTGAAGTATTGAATACAAATGAGTGAGTATGTGCCTTTTTACGGCGCCCTTACCTTATTCCTACTTTCATAACTCGCCTCTTAGTAATGCTCTCGTTTCGATTACAGGAAAGCAACGGTTCGACACCACACTCCGAGTTACAATTGCAACCAGACAGTAACGCGCCTTCAACAGTTTCTCTTGATGGATCTCGCTTAAGTGTGTCCTGTGTAAGTTCACGTGGGGACGTGGTGAATCACATCAGGACAAACCGCTTTGATGATGTAGACTTTAAGAAAGTCAGCCAAAGAGTGGACAAAGTTTGCAGAGTTGTATTTCTGTTAGCGTTTATTATATTTGCTATAGGTTATTGGATAGTTTACCCTCTCACTATCGTGCAATGACATCAAAGTATCCATTGGAGATTGGATGAAAAAAAAATACTATATACCAGATCATAAACAGGAGTATTACAAAGTTAGGACGCTGGTGGCGTAATATACTCGCACTAGGATTCGTACATGAGTAACAACAAGCGTGGTTGCAATCCAGAGTTATGGTGGAACCAGAATTGTAATTGCATATTACAGCGTATGACATGGTGGGAGTGTATACCAATCATTTGCAATCTGAGCAGTTGCTGGGTTGGTACACGGTTACTCGAAGACGTGGTTGGTTTGGCTTGTTAGCTTGTGTATATTTCTTGTAGCGCCGCTTATGTGTGGGCTTAGAATATCAACACAACGTCCAGCACCATCAATGAGGTTTATTATGCATAAAACGTAAATTGCAATTGACTGTGATGACGCATGCGTTGTGGAATACGGAAAAGGAGCCCGACGCATACACAATATGCTAATAACTTTAACGAGGTTATGACAAAGACATATCTCATGAATATTATTTTAAAGTGCATTTATTAATAGAAAGCATTTATTATGAAATGCCAGATTCACGTGTATTCGGTATTGGCACCCACTCTGTCTATTATGGTTATTTGAAAACTATACGCTTTTTCTATCATACTAAACTGGTCACCGAGTGTTTCTGCTTTTTTACACTGATGCCGACGTGAGCGTTGGCAAGCCTGAAGCCTAAATAGCTTTCGATTGTGTACAGCGCCACCAGTGGCTATTCCCGGCTCCATGCGTCAAGAGGATATTACCAGGTGCAACAACAGGGGTGCCAGCTGATTGGTCAGCTAATGCTCAGTGTATACCTGAACAATATTAAGGGGTGAACCATTTTTTTTTCTTTTTAGGGTATTTGAATTAGACATTTGTAGTAACGTATTATTTTTATATTTTCGATTACTGTCTATTGTGATATTTTCCATCATTGAGTGGCTTATATTCTTATCATTTGTTGTTGTTTTTTTCTCCTGAAATTTGTATTCTGGTACTTTCCCATTGGCGTCATTCGCCAGCAGGCTATTATGGTGTAATGAACGAGATTGGTGGATTATGCGTCAAAAATGAGGGGTCGCATCCAATGATCCACTAAACATGACGTGATTGTTTAAAGCATCTTACACACAATTTAATCAACTTTGCAGCGTTTTCATTCGCGCAGTATGCTGTCTGATTGTTAATGGGGCTAGTAGGAAATTGCAATACGTAATTCAAGATGGTGGTCAAGAATTGAACCGTATCACTTGGTCTAACGTGACTTTACGTTGATGAATTCGATTAAATACTTTTTTATTGTCGGCGCCACTGCCGTGCGCCACTGAGTCGGATTCGGAATTGTCTACCGCGATGTGCGTTTTGAATCGTATTCGCCAAGAAAACATTATCGCATAATTTTAAAGCCGATGAATCTTAGTGACAATGTGGCAACATGCGAAATGGTTTGAATGATTGATCGAAGCGTACGCAACTCTACCGTCGCGATGAGTTTATTACGTGTACTCGGACGATATATCCGAGTATATCTCCTGTCTTCCAACCAAAATAGCTAAAAGTTAAGTTCTCTTTCGTCGACAGCAAAAATGAAAGGTGAACCAAATCTGGTTTCGCTTGTTGTAATTCCGCAGAGAGTTTGGCCGGTCAGTGTGTTTCGAATTATTTGGAAAAATTACGATTTCATTCGATCGCTAAAGCTAATATTGTAATCACTACCACGTCTGTTTTTTGTAGGAATAATCTTTGTTGCTTGAAAGTTTCGTTCGATTTTTTGTCTCCACAGAAGTTAATTACGTAGCCTAAAATTAGACGATGTTTTTTATGATAATGCCGTTTAAGGTTGATCAATTTCATGAAAGTTTGGTGTATCGAAACGTTGTGTATATTGGTCTTGGTGGCAAAACACCTTGCGAATTTATTTTATTTTATCTACAATGAGAAATATGTGATCATGCTCTTTGTGTGATTTATCGATGTCTGTAAACCTGGTTTACAGTCTGTGCAAAACAATAAAATCACTAACACGTACATGCGCGTGTACACAGTATCAATTAAAGCGGGAGGGTCGTCACCTGCGCACGCGCGGGAATTGAGTTCCAAGCGACGAT